TGAAATTTTGCATCATATGTTGCCTTACTTGTATTTATATCTATTTAACGTAGGAAGATATGTTCATGTTTTCGTTTCAATTACGAAATTGAAGGCCCTATCGGCACCCGATTCAGAAATTGACTTGATTTATGTGTTACTTAGAATTTTTAGAATTTTATGGTAGGTTTAATTGAATTTCGAATCGGAACGATTAAATTAAAATAATTTAATGTCTACTTGATTAGTTTGATCAATAAATAATTACACCTTTACCCAAGCCTATATAAGGAAAATTGTAGACTCAAGGCCATTATATATTTTTTCATTTCCTCATCTTTTGACTCAAACATGAGAGAGAAGAGAGTGTAAGAGTTAGGAGAGGAACTTCAACAATTAGAGTGAATTGTAGGAAATTTAGAGGGAAAATCAAGAATTACTCAACCTTGAAGGGAAGTTTGGCTCCAACACTTGCTAGCTCAAGGGTTAAGGTAGGAAATTCAACTCCTCAAACATGAATTTGAATTACTTAGTGCAAGAATTCAAGAGAATTAGAAGATTAAGCATGGGGATTAAAGTAAGAATGTAGAATGAAAGATTAATTCATGCATGCATGCATAATTCATGAATTTTAAGTTTAATTTACAATCAATCCATACATGCAAGAGGTCATCTTTGTTAAATGTTGAGAGCTCACCATAGTTTTGCACTTACAATCCCAAATTACTCATGTTTTGAAAGACAATATCTTATATCATTGCTTGTATGTTGTATATACAAAATTTCAAACTTAGTTTTGAAGAATTGATTTGGTTTTGGGCTTTGATTTTGTGAATTAATCTTCATTTCATATTGTCATACAAGTTTCTAAATGTTTCCGTAAGTTTTTTGCCCAAAAGAACAAAAATTGCAGCTTTGAAGTTGAATTTGGGAGCTTGGAGGTGAATCTGGAAATTCCAGAATTCAACCTATCCGCTCGAGCGTCAGATTTTGCGCTCGAGCAGCCACCTTTTTTTTTGCATCTCCGCTCGAGCGACCAGAAGTTCGCTCGAGCATGAAATACATGCTCCCAGAAGTTTCATGCTTTTGCAGACCGCTCGAGCGTCAAGAATTGCGCTCGAGCGAGGACATGAGTCTTACACTCGAGTGACCATCGAGCATCCGTCAAGCGTGAAAATCACATAACCAGTACTTTTTTCAAAATTTGTAGAGCGCTCGAGCGTAGGAAGTTGGGCTCGAACGTCCCCTCACACATTGCATTTCCGCTCGAGCGGGGGAAGTTGCGCTCTAGCGGGACCCCTGTTTTCAGCAAGTTTTGTTAAATGCGTTCAAGTACATTTTGGCATCCTAATTGCATCTTAGGCATTTCTAAGCCAAGATTAAAACATAATAATGAGGGTGAAATGTAGAAACACACTAAGAACGGAATGTAATGAGTTAGATATATTCTAGCGTGTGTTTCAAATGTGTATTTGTTATGTGTTGATGTAGGTCACGTGCCGTAAACTGTTTGATTAGTCTGCTCTGTCTGTCTGCACCCGAAGTCAACTGTGAGTAATAACTTAGTAAAGTTATGTTCAACTTTATTTATCTTCTGTATGATGAATTATGATCTATTTTCTGAAATTATATGTTCTGTACACTTAATGATTGTCCAATTTCTGACAATATATTCGTAGCATCCTTAGCATTATGTGATATATGTTAGCTGTTACCCGGTATCGGAGGTTCCATTATGGAACTTAATATGTCTGCACTCTGTTACCCGTACCGGAGGCTCCATCATGGGGCTCAGCATATCTATTATTTGTTACCCGGATCCGAAGGTTCCTTTATGGAACTGGTTACTCATAACCACCATCTGTTCTGCATCTATTCTGTTAGCGCTAATGGATGTACCACGTATGATTTAGCATGAACTTTAATTTCTGTGTATGATTTGGACAAGATTATGAATATGGATCTACTTCTGTTTTTGAAATAAATATGAATCTATTTTCTGGAGTTGATATGGGACATTATTCATGGAAACCCTTTACTTTGTTATTATTCACTGGGCTTCCGCTCACTATTTATATTATGTATGTAGGTGACCAGGCATGTGATCAAGGCTAGAGTTTATGGCCTGGGATTCCGTTTTGTCAGCCATCCTTTGCACCTCCCGAGGTAGTTCCGGACCAAGTCAAGTTGTGTGGCCATTTCTTTTTGAACGTTCAATACCTTGTTTTCTCTTGTTTAATGAACAGTTTGTTTTTGGTTATCTGTACATGGGGTGACGTATAATTACTGTATCTACGTGACATCATATGTATGCTTATAAAGTTTGACATTATTTTGTCCCATGTCTGTCTGCACAGTTTAATGGACGTTGTATTTTGTATATTTGCTTCTGCAGTCCCTTGATTATACGTTATTCTGTTCAGAGGCCTTTGGCAATCCAACGATTACTGGCCGGTTACGATGCTAACCCTATATGGACCGGTTTAGGTCGTGACATCTACCATCTGCACGAACCCTTTGGCAGCTCGGTTACCGTTCACTATCACGAAGCATTGCTTGGACATGATTTGGTCTCCCAAGATTTCTTCAATCAATCCAGCTTCATTAGAAAATCGTATCACCTAATGGTAGGTTAATGCTACCACTAGCATGGCACGCAACCATGCTCTTTCCAAAATTATGTTGTAAGTGGAAGGTACTTTTAGTACCCAGAATTTCACTTGCTTTATTATTGTCCCAGCTTTGACCGGCAAAATTATCTTGCCAACAGGCCATTCTAGCATAGAGTTGAAACCAACCAAGGGCGATGTCACGGGTGCTAAGTCTTTGTCCTCCAATTTGAGTTGCTTGAAAATCGCGTAGTACATTATCTCGCACGAGCTCCCTTGGTCTATCAAGATCCGCTTGATGTCAAAATTTTTTATGCACAGAGTCATCACTAGCGCGTCATTGTGAGGGCTTTGCAACCTTGCTAAGTCCCTGTCTGAAAAGGTGATGACGTTTTTCGCTTCCGTCTTCCCTTTCTTCACGGTTCGTTATACACTCAGTACTTCCCACAGACAGCACCAATTGTACAAGCACGAAATAATCTGTCTTGTATAATCTTGTTGATCAGGTTTGCACTCCTCCAAACGTCGTCATCTTATCACCTGAAAGCACAAACGTGAGCTAGCTAGTGGGTGTGTACCAGAAACCCCTCCGATGCCTAAGTCAGCAAATATACAATAGACACAAAAATTTTGTGTATTTGAGAGTAAGAATTGCAACACCTGAGCATAGGTCTTGTTATGAGCTTTTATAGATTTTGTCAGGCACATTCCTAGTAGGACTCTAACTCTCCTTAACAGAATCCTCTTAGGAATCACTTCCCCACAAGATAATGCACATCCTGATAACACCCTACTCACTACCAACCAAGTGATATGGTCAAAAATGTGTACTTCGATTGTCACCGCAGCCAACCGAGCTGTCTCTGCTCTGTGCTTAACATGGCAGAGTTGTGATGATCCTAGCTCCAGGACTGCAATCTGCCGAGCTACCGACAGCACGGTTCTCTTTACTTACAATACCTCAGTCCGCCAAAGGACCACCTTCCCATAGCTAGGTCCAAGCCCAAGCAACATCTATAACCGGCATAGAACCTGATAAGCCCAAGTCCAAGCTATTCAACTCCCATCTTGGCCCATTGCGCGGCCCAACGCCTAGCTCGACCCCATTTGCACACAAATTACCCTCTCATTTAGGTTTTTAGAATTATACATTTTGTTTGTAAGTTTTCCTCCATTATTTTCAATATCTGTTTTAGTGTTACTTTCCAAAATCTGGTTCAAATTTTTTTATGTTTCACACACAGTATACCTGAGATTATTCCAATAGTAGTCTAATATTGATTTCTACCATTTTTTCCATATATAAATGTCATAATACTAGCCTATGATCACTCTGACACTAAATAATAATAATAATAATAATAATATTAATAAGAGTAAATTACAAATACATTCCAACAATTTACTTAAAATATTATAGTTTTGAAAAGTATAAATACTCTATTATCAAAAAAAAATTATTTAACAAAATTTACACGAAAAATGAAATTTCAAACTATTCTCCTAGACAATAAGAAAATTATCTGAATTGTTAATTAAAATATATTTATGACATCATTAGAAATAGTTAATTAACTTAATGATTTATTACTAAAATTGATCATTTGTCATAGATCAATTTTCAGAACTTTTTATTTAAGAAAATTTACACAAAAAATGAAACTTCGAACTATTCTACTAGACAACAATAAAATTATCTGAATTGTTAATTAAAATATATTTATGGTATCATTAAAAATAGTTAATTGACTTAATGATTTATTGCTAAAATTGATCATTTGTTATATAATTAAAAACTTGAAACTGAAAGTAATTTTCAAAAGTATAAGGGATAGTCTATGTTTTAAATAAATTTTAAAAAGTATATATGTAATTTATCCAAAAATTTTATACCAATTCCATTAAAATTTAATATTGATATTTGCAAAGCAAAAAAACATACAAACATTAAGCATAAAAACATGTACAACGCAGAAATCATTAAAAAAATGAAATGTTCAAGTACAGAAATGTTTGAAAGATCCGATAGCTCAAATTATTATTATTATATTATATTACTCTCCTGTCTCATTATTATTAGATATATGTATATATATATATATATATATTGTGTTATTTTATTTTGCAGTATAAAATTTAAAATTAAGTTAATAATATATAATTATATAAATTGTATTATGTCATTTTGAAATGATAATTGAAGGGGACTACTGTTATTTAGGATGTTATTTAAGAGGGTCTAAATAAGTATTTTTTTTTAATTTTTTTCGAATAATATATAAAATAATAAAAAATTTGCATGATTTAAATAAGTATACTTATCTAAATAAGTGTATTTATTTAAAAAAATACCAAACAAAATGGAGCAAAAAATTAAAAAAATAAAAATGAAAGTGAAAACAACTCATAAAATTTTGTATCAAAAATTCAGTAACCTTAAAGTCCATTCATTCAATTATTTGACATTACAACACATTAACATAAATATGACATCATTACTTATTCACCCCAAAAAGGAAAAAAAAAAAAACATAAATATGACACTTGACAGTATCAATTTTCATTTACGAAAGTACCCAACTTTTGGATCAAACCCACAACCTTGTCACTATTGGGACTAAACATATGGAAACAGTGGTCCTCCCCTTTATCCTCCACAAATTCCACCCTACCTTCCCAACCACTATTTTTCAATGTCTCATAGTAATCCACGCCTCTCGGTTTCAACCGATCCTTCTCTGCCACGAACACAATCACCTTGGAGCAACCCATCTTCGTCAAATTCGGATCCTCCTTGGGGCTCAAATTCGGGTCATCCTCCGACCCACTACTCCCCGGATACAAATACTGGATCATCTTGTCCGGTTCACTACCCGCAAAATAGGGGTGAATTATAATCACTCCACGTGGCATGAAACCCTCCAATCCGACTGTGCCAACCCGAACCGCCACTTGGTGGGCTATATTTGCCCCGGCACTCTCTCCCGCCAGGAAAACCCGACCGAAATCCGCGTACTGGTTTAGCCAGGGATCGGGTCCTTGGCCGTTAGAGTGGGTAGCGATCCACTGCAATGCGGACCAGGAGTCATCATACGCGATGGGTAATGGGTGCTCCGGGGCGAGCCTGTAGTCAACGGAGATAGCGATCAAGTGGGCTTGGGAGGCGAGGGAGGTGAGGAATCTGAGAGTGACGGTGTCGAGGGAGGATCCCATGCAGAAGCCTCCACCGTGGTAGTGAACGAGGAGGGGGAGCTTGTGATCTGGTCCGTTGATCTTGGGTAGGAAAATGCGAGCTTTGACTCCGGTCTCTGGGGAGATCAGGGTGTCCTTGAATTCGACACCGGTTTTGGGATCAACGGCTGGGGGGACGTAGTCGGAGACCATGAACCGTTCGACGCGGCCGTCTTTGTGGACTCGGAAAAATGGTGGGAAGTCGTGGGCTATTGAATCCATTGGAAGGGTTTAGAGAGAGAGAGAGAGAGAGAGAGAGAGAGGATGTGTTATTTGTGTGTGTCGGTTATGGAGTGTGTGTGATCTGTGAAATATAAACGGGCCTAGTTCAAAAGCGAAGGGACCTAGCAGTCCAATAATGGCTCAGTAGCTGGGTCAAGTGGAACCATCCTACCAGCAAGATTACGGTTGGGTAGAGAGAGCGAGAGACAGAGCAATACAAATATCTATATCTTAGGATTATTTTATTCATTTAAATTTTTTTAATTAAATTACAAATACACCCTTTAATGCAAGCACTGGTGCCCAAAAAAAAAAAAAAAAAATAATATTAGGTGATCCGAAAAATCATGACTCGAATGACTCGAAATAAATATGAATATGAATCTATTTTCTGGAGCTGATATGGGACATCATTCATGGAAACCATTTGCTTTGTTATTATTCACTGGGCTTCCGCTCATTATTTATATTATTTATGTAGGTAACCAGGCACGTGATCAAGGTCAGAGTTTATGGCCAAGGATTCCATTTTGTCAGCCATCTTTTGCGCCTCCTGAGGTGGTTCCGGACCAAGTCAAGTTGTGTGGCCATTTCTTTTTGAACGTTCAATACCTTGTTTTCTCTTGTTTAATAAACAGTTTGTTTTTGGTTATCTGTACATGGGGCGACGTATAATTATTGTATCTACGTGACGTCCTATGTATGCTTATAAAGTTTGACATTATTTTGTCACATGTCTGTCTGCACAGTTCAATGGACGTTGTATTTTGTATATTTGCTTCTGCAGCCCCTTGATTATACGTTATTCTGTTCAGAGGCCTTTGGCAATCCAAGGATTACTGGCCGGTTACGATGCTAAACCTATATGGGCGCGTTTAGGTTGTGACATCTACCATCTGCACAAACCCTTTGGCAGCTCGGTTACCGTTCACTATCACGAAGCATTGCTTGGACATGGTTTGGTCTCCCAAGATTTCTTCAATCAATCCAGCTTCATTAGAAAATCGTATCACCTGATGGTAGGTTAATACTACCACTCGCATGGCATGCAACCATGCTCTTTCCAAAATTATGTTGTAAGTGGAAGGTACTTTCAGTACCCAGAAATTCCACTTGCTTTATTATTGTCCCAACTTTGACCGGCAAAATTATCTTGCCAACAGGCCATTCTAGCATAGAGTTGAAACCAACCAAGGGCAATGACACGGGTGCTAAGTCTTTGTCCTCCAATTTGAGTTGCTTGAAAATCGCGTAGTACATTATCTCGCACGAGCTCCCTTGGTCTATCAAGATCCGTTTGATGTCAAAAATTTTTATGCACAGAGTCATCACTAGCGCGCCATTGTGAAGGCTTTGCAACCTTGCTAAGTCCCTGTCCGAAAAGGTGATGATGTTTTTCGCTTCTGTCTTCCCTTTCTTCACGGTTTGTTGTACACTCAGTACTTCTCACAGACAACGCCAATTGTACGAGCACGAAATAATCTGTCTTGTATAATCATGTTGATCAGGTTTGCACTCCTCCAAACGTGGTCTTATCACTTGAAAGCACAAACGTGAGCTAGCTAGTGGGTGTGTGCCGGAAACCCCTCCGATCCCTAAGTCAGCAAATATACAATAGACGCAAAAGCTTTGTGTATTTGAGAGTAAGAATTGCAACACCTGAGCATAGGTCTTGTTATGAGCTTTTATAGATTTTGTCAGGCACATTCGTAGTAGGACTCTAACTCTCCTTAGCAGAATCCTCTTAGGAATCACTTCCCCACAAGATAATGCCCATCTTGATAACACTCTACTCACTGCTAACCAAGTGATATGGTCAAAACTGTGTACTTCGGTTGTCACCGCAGCCAACCGAGTTGTCTCTGCTCTGTGCTTAACATGGCAAAGTTGTGATGATCCTAGCTCCAGGACTGCAATCTGCCGAGCTACCGACAGCACGGTTCTCTTTACTAGGTCCGCCAAAGGACCACCTTCCTATAGCTAGATCCAAGCCCAAACAACATCTATAACTGGCATAGAACCTGATAATCCCAAGTCCAAGCTATTCAACTCCCATCTCGGCCCATTGCGCGGCCCAACCCCTAGCTCGGCCCAATTTGCACACAAATTACCCTCTCATTTAGGTTTTTAGAATTATACATTTTGTTTGTAAGTTTTCCTCCATTATTTTCAATATCTGTTTTAGTGTTACTTTCCAAAATCTGGTTCAAATTTTTATATGTTTCACACATAGTGTACGGGGAGCAAATATTCCGGCGTGCCCGTATTCCTTTCTTCCGAGCTCCGTCGATATCCGATCACCTGCGAGCAAATAACGGTGAACTACCCGGCGGTGTGTGGCCGGAAACACCCTCCGACGGGCAAATTAGCACACACCTTAGAGGGAATAGAGAGAAGGGAGAGAGTGTTTGAGTGTAAGGATTTTCTTACAGAGATGTTCGTATGTTCCGTATGGGGGGTACAGACATGCTCATATACCTTCTGAGCCCCATATCCACTCCCAGTCATCTCCTGACACGTGGCTCTACTATCCCATCTGTCAGCATAAACCATGCCATTCACCACCTAACCTCAACTGCCTGTCAGCACAGCTGGAGCTCGGCAGCCGAGCTGCCCTACCTCGGTCATACCATGCGTCAAACCCATGCGCCTAGTCGGACAAACACATGAAGGACCGGGCTAGGCGGCATCTCGGCAAAGCCTAGCCCGGGCACCTCTTTGGGTTGGCCTTCTTGCGGTCAATCAACTACCTCGGCTGACCGCGCCTTTCCGGGCGTCGGTCTCTCGGTCTGTCTGGTTTTGACCATCCTCGGACCGAGCATCCTGGTCGTTTGTGTCTTCTAGAGGGTTTTTCTCAATGTAATTCCTATTCTCATTTTATTCGGTGTCGAAGTTTCTTTCTTCCGGGGAGTGCCGGGTCAAGTCCGGAGCACCCGGGAAGCGAGTCAAAAAATTCTGGACTGCTAGGCGAGGATGGGCCGCACGTGCTGGGAGTGAGGCCACACGTGCGGTGAAGTTTGGGCTTCAGAGCGTTGCACATTGCCTAAAAGGCATGTGCGGAACGAGGTGTGGGGGACCGCCGCACGTGCAGGGAGGAAGGCTGCACGTGCGGGAAGAGGCGCTCTGCACGTGCGGGGAGGCGCCCCGCACGTGCGGCAATCTGGGCAGCCCAAACCCCTGTTTTTAGTCCTTTTTTTGGCCGAGTTGTATCTCATTTTGGGGCTTCTCTCTCCCACTATAAATCCTATTTTTCTCCTCCATCTCTCTTGAAAACCTCCTCAAACACCAAAATACTTTGATTCTTGAAAATCTTGAGTCAAGATTATCATCATCTACCTCTAATCTTGAAGATCAAGAACTAGGGCTTCATTTGGTGTGGTAGAAATCCAAGATCCTCTCATCCTTTGACTCTAGGGTTTCATTCTTTCCTTCATCAAACCTTGAGGTAGGGATATTCTTTGAGTTATATATATGTTTTTGCAAGATCTAGATGATTTTGAAATCATCCTTTGATTTGCTTTGAAAATGGGTTGTTGATACAAGAAAAAGAGTGATTTTGAAAGTGGGTTTACTATTTGATCCTTTGAGATAGAAATTGGGGGTTTTGAACTATGTTGATAAAGGAAAGATGTTTTGGTGAGATCTTCTCAAATATTTGAAGATGAATGGTTTTTGGCGAGAAAATCTAGAAATTGGAAATTTTTAAGAAAGATGTTGAAAATCTTTAGATTATGTTGTTATATTTATTTTGTGTGCCAAAATAAATTATGGTTCAAAATTGTTTATTTATTATATATAAATGATGGTTTTCCATGGAATAAGATAATTGTTGAAGTTTTGGAAATTGTTATTTAAAAGTGTTGATATAGTCTTGAAATGACTATGTTGTTGGAAATGTTTGAAATGTGGGAATTATGTTATCCCTTGGATGAATTGAAATAAATGTATATTTATTCATCTTGTGAAATTGCGTAGAAAGGAGAAAATGGGAATTTTGATCACAATGGTAGCATTGTGTGGAAGGGTTGGAAATGGAGAAATTGTTGCATTGGCATATCAATTCATTCGATTACATTAAACTTTGAAAGTTGATTTGAAAACTAGCATTGAGGAAGAAACGTTGAGATACAAGTTTTCATGAAATGGTTTTGGGGTAAATACAGTGGTAAGTCTTGAAAGGTAGTGTAGAGAATAGGAGTCGAGCCTTCCGGTCAATACTGGTAAAAATGACAGATTATGGGTGTCGAGCCCTCCAGTTGATACTGGTAAAAATGAAGATTTGGTAGTATTCATGTAGTCTACTTGTAGACACTGACCTAGGGATTACCAGAGTTGTATTTATCGCCTCTCGAATAAAATTGGATAAATGTTGAGCAGTTGAAATGGCATGACATCATTGAACATGTTGGTTTTCAAAAGATGAAGTTGTGTATTACTTTCAAAAAGGCATGGCATGGCATAAGCATTCCATCTCACGAGACTAGTATAAAATGTATATACTTTGTTAAGAATTTCCTACTGGGCTTTATGCTCACCCTACGGGATTTTTGTGCAGAAAAAGATGTGTTGTTTCTGCCTAACTAAATGCGTGGAAGTGTGTGCAGAGAGCATAACGTGCTCATTTGCTGTGACTTTGATTGTAAGCCAAGGGCTTTGTATGTGTGGGTTTGAATAATCGTTTTGTGTAACCAGACTCAAGCCTTGGAAACTTGTAAACCCTTGGGGGTATTTGTTGTTTAATTAATTGTTGTTGGGTTAACTGTATTATCGCATGAAGACTATTTACATCATGTAATGCAAGTATGAGGATTTATTATCAGTTTTACTTTAAAGGGCCATGATTATTGTATTACCATTTGGGCATGAAAATTGGGGCGTTACAACTTGGTATCAGAGTTATCGGGTTTGAATACTTGGAGCGATAACATGCTTATGTGGCTATGTGGGTATGGGGTTGGACTTTTGGGATGTTGTTTGCGCCTGTTAAATTCCTTGAGGTCTTTTTAGAAGGGTACTTGATCAATACTCGTTCTACTAAGAATTCTTGGTTTTTCGTGGGACGAATTTCATCATGAAAGAA